CTAAGAAATATTAGCGGCTTGTGTTATCTACACTGGGTGGAGGACTCACTGCTGCATGACATGCAGGTGTCTGATCGGAGGGCTCCTAGGGCCCTCCCTCCTTTCCTGAGCCTTCCTGGTGGTCATCCAGTAGCTCATCCTCTAGCTGACCCCAGGTGCGGCCCCAGAGAGTGGCAGAGGACAGAACAACCCCACGCACACAGACTGGGTGATTTCCGCCTAGGACTCGGCCCTGCTCACTCTCAGTTTGTCAAGTCTGGGGGTTTCCTGCTGCCTCTGCCCTCTGAAGGTCAGCAGAAAGCTGAGCACATGGGGACCACCCTGCTAGCTCCCCTTTGCCATCTGCTATGTTCCTGCTGTGTTTTCTCGAGTCCCGTTTCATGGTAATCGCTTCTCCTGGGTCTCTTCTATCAAGATGTCCCAGTCCCCAGCAGCATGCCCCCGGATGCAATCCAGAACTAGTTCTGCTCTTTTAGGACAGCTGTCCCTAGATGCCTGGCATCTAGGACTGAAATAAAAGAGGAACAGGTTGGGGTTCTTCTAGACACTAACTCACGCCACAAAGAAGGAAACTGAGGTTTCTTCAGTGCCAGTGCCAATACAATCTCTACTGCTTTCCATCCTCTGATCGGAGCAGTTGTACGTCCTGGTATGTAAGATATTCTCCTCTCTACCTGCAAGTAAAAGAATCCAAAATCCACACACCTGCCTACTGAAGGTCATTTTCCACCTCAAATTGGCATGGTGCGCCCTCTGGTGGGATAATCGCAGAACTACAAGTCCTGCAAAGAAACCAGCTTCCACATTCTAACTGCGGATTTTCTCAACCAACCACAGTAATGACAACTGTGGGCGTCCCAGGGCTACAACGCTGCTCAGAGGCAAAGATATTTCTAAGCATCAAAGAGGAAACTCAAGTATGATGATTGAGTCTTCTTAATAACTGATGTCCTAAATCAGTAGTTCATTATACCTATTAGATCTGAGGCTAGTGCCACATCTTGGAGAGCATTTCCATTCTCTCTTTGGGGTTTTGATGGCTGAGGTACATGAATTTAGAATAGAAGACAGTGGGTAAACTGGCTGTTTACATACAGAAGGACCACTTTGTGCTTGCTTGTGGCCCCTCTGTTCTCAAGTCTGACTATGGGAACCAGACATGGACCTGCCCCACACCTCAAGTGTGAAGTCCCCGACACCTCAGCCCTCAGCTCCAGAGCAGGGCTGGCTTATTCCCTGTCAGGGTTCAGGAACAAGGTTGGGCATGAGGATCAAGTCCTGGAAATGGAAGACAGGTCACCACTGCACACTGGAAAGAGGTAGACTGGATAAACCAAGAGACTCAGACTCATCCAACATGGCCAAAAGCCCTGCAGCATTCTAGACAATGGAGTTTTCCTCTCTATGCCTGAGTTATTTCTGTATCAAGGGATTAGACCAAATGATTTCCAAGTGTTCTCTATCTCTGACTGATATATTAGGTGGTATCTTTCATGTACAACTAACTGAAGACCCAACCCAGTTGGCCTAAGGTTTTTTGGAGGGAGGGGGCACAGAGTCTTTCTATGTAGGTTAGGCTGGCCTTGAACTCACTAGGTAGTCTAGGCTGGCCTCAAACTTGTGGTGATCCTCCTGTCTCAGTCTCCTGAGTGCTGAGATTACAGGCATGTGCCACCATGCCAGGCATGGCCTGTTTTAAAACAAAAAGAAAAGAGAAAGATATGTATATTGTCTTAGTTACTTTTCTCATTGGTGAGACAAAATACCCAACACTCAAAGTTAAAAGAAGAAAGGTTCAATTGGCTCACAGTTCATAGAGATTTCAGTCTACAGTCGGCTGGCTTCAAGGCAGGGTGGCATGGTAGAGGAGAAACAGTCCATGGCAAAGCAGGGCAGGCAGAAGGCAGCAAGCCTATGACAAGCAACACAGCAACACTAGCCCTCTTTCTGTCCCTAGCACTCACACCCACGGTGAGGAAGGCACTGTTAATCTCAGCATCACACACCATAGATCCAGCCACAACCTAAAAGCCCCACTTATGGCCTCATGAGGCTTTAGGGGACATCTAGATACAAGTTACAACCTGCAACAAGTGCTCAATGATACAACTCTTTGATTTAAAAAGAGGATGAGATCACCTGAATGGTTATAGTAATCAAGGCATAACTAGGTAATTATAAGAAATCTGTGAGGAGCAGAGCTGCCCCCAGTGCAGAGGAGGTGAACCTTTCAGGCTGCCATACCACTGCCCCCAGTGCAAAGGAGGTGAGCTGCGCAGGCGCCAACAGCACACACACACCCCTGCCCCCCAGTGAAATGAGAAGACACATAAACAAGTCTCAAAACCAGACTTCCAGATCACCTAAAGCAACCCGAAAGGGAAATTAGATGAAACACTCTGATACTCAACCACCTGGATTCCTTGAACTGGAAATGAAAGAGGAGCTGGAAAAAATGAAATCACAAATAATTTCTCAGATAACAGTGGAGATTGTACCCATAGTGCAAGACATGATTAATAAATCTAGAGAGGACACAGATGAAAAAAAAAATAGAGGAGCTGAGGAACATGATGGAGTCCTAACATAGGAAAGAAATGGAATCCATAAAACAGATGCAAACAGATTTCAGAAATCAGACAGTTCCTACAATTAAATGACAGTGACAATACAACATATCGGAATCTATGCGACACAAAGCAGTCTTATGAGGGAAATTCATAGCAGTGAATACTCATATTGGGAAAACAGTGAGCCCAATTAAACAACCTGATGCTGAACCTCAAGCTTCTAGAAAAAGAAGACCATGGCCGGGGATTTAGCTCAGTGGTTCTGCCACCTGCCTCACAAGTGCAAGGTCCAGAGTTCAATCCCCGGTACCAAAAAAAAAGAAAAAGAAGACCAGGACAAACCCAAAGCTCATACAAGGAAGGAAATTGTAAAGATCAGAGCAGAAATCAATGCAATGGAGACTAAGAGAACAATACAAAAAAATCAATGAAGGGCCAAGGATTTAGCCCAGTGGTTTTGCCTCCTGCTGCACAAGCGCAAAGACCTGAGTTCGATTCCTGGTACAAAAAAAAATCAATGAAGCCAAGAGTTGGTTCTTTGAAAGAATCAACAAAATTGACAAACCCTTAGCCAACTTTATCTAAAAAAGGAAAGAAAAGGCCTAAATCCATACAATTTGGAATGAAAAGGGTGAAATTACAATGGACTGAGCAGAAATCCAGAGGATCATCAATACCTACTTTGAGAACCTATAGGCCAATAAGATAGAAAACACAGAAGAAATGGACAGACTCCTAGATAAGTATGAATTACCAAAGTTGAA